TATTTATATTCTACAATTATTCACAAACCTTTCCTTTGTGTTTTGGATTTGTTTGACCCACAAGCGATGCATGGAAGATCAGACCGTATTTGGGAGTATCACGTTTTGTTTTGAGTGCTCTGTTCAAAATAAAATAAAATAAAAAACAAACAAACAAACAAACAAACAAAGATTAAACAGGAGAAAATAAACTTAAATTGAAAATATGATACAATTGTAAGACTGGGCTTTAGTCTTTTTCTTGTTGTTGTTGTTTTCTGTTTCTGAAGTTAAAATAACTAAATAAATGGAAATTACACTGCGTTGAGTCCAATTCCATCATTCTGCAGTTAATTCTTACCTGAACAAAGCCTTTTCAGCACCCAAGATCTGAACTGTTGACGATGGATGCTTAGCTAAATTTAAGAGTGACCCTGCAAAACAGCAATCCAATTTCGAAATAAGTGGCAGCAGGTATTACACAGAAGCATAGACCACATTCATAAATGGCTGCTGCATTAATCTTCTTTTGTTTAAATTTAAATTAGCCTTTCTGGCCTCGTTCTCCAGTACAAAATTCAAAAGAATACATTATCTCAAGCGAGGCCAGAAAGGTTAATTTAAATTTAAACAAAAGAATATTAATCTGGCAGCCATTTTTGAAAGTGGTCAATAAATCTAAAGGAATGACAGCTGTCATTTATTGTCATGACATGCAAGTGACAAGAGGGAAAGCAAAAGCGCAAGTGATTTTTATCTTTGTCACAAACAGTTAACTTAAGATTCAGGAGAAATTAGATGCTAGTCACTCTTAGGGGTTTAATAATAATAATAATAATAATAATAATAATAATAATAATTGTCACTGCTAATTGCTGTCACAAAGTACAGCAATGACGCAGCTCAACAAGGTTGAACCGAAAGCTTACAGATAGCTTAAGAGTTAACCAATCACAAAAAAGCCCCTGACAGGCCAGCAAACATCAAAACTGCAAACTAAATATTACTGCTATTTAGTTTTCCTGTGCCTGATTGATTTTCTAAAACAACAACAACAACAAAAAAAATTCCAAAAATCTTTTGTTGTTCATGCTTTTTTTTTAGTGTCGGTGATTACTGAGCACAGTCTCGCATACGCTTAAATGTCACTAAGATGCTTGAGCAGGAATCGAACCCACCCCCCTCTAATTACAAACAGCAAAAACAATTCTTTCAATTCACCTGCATGGGCTATAAGTCTGGCACCAACAAGTTCTCCAACAAGCACAGTCAGGTTTGGAGCAATGGCTGTCATTCGATTCTTGAGGTAATCATACAGCTGAGCGCGGTAGTCGGTCATTTCAATGATCTGAAAATTGTAATTTTAAGAGTTAATGAAACAACTCATAAAGTGGAGAATTTTACAACATGCCTAGATATCTGTACATGTAATACCTGATCACAGAGGTAAATGATGTTATTCATGTCTTCCTCAGAGATCTAGAACAAGAGAAAACACAGTCACTAATTGTAGATTGCTACGCATTATTTTTTGTCTATTGTTTCTTGTGCAGTAGTGTTAATTGTAGTAAAGTTTTGCGGGAGCTTTCTTTGTGTCATTACGTTATGTAGCATATATTTAAACCATGTTGTTCATCGTTGGTGCAGTTTCTTTTTTCCAGTACAGTTTTGTCAAGTGTAGTTTGCATATTCTTTCTTTTCTCTTTGTGCAGCTTGTTCGCCACTAGGCAGGATTCACAACACGGTGTTGAAATTGTGCTTGTTAGAGTTAGTCGTCCTTGGCAGTAATACTAATATTAGATTAAAAAATTTAGCAATCAAGTTTTGTGTTTAAAAACCTTCATATACCACTCAGACTACTTTCACTTGATAGTGGACAAATAGACTTCTTTGACTTCAATGTTTTGTTTACCCACTACTCTTGGAAAATGTTTCTTTGAAATGTCCTCTCATTCTCATGCCTAGGTACCCATAATTTACAAAGGATAAAGCAGAAAATTCCCTGAAGACCTGAAATGGGTACACAAAACATACAAGCTCAAGACCTCTATTCTATACTTGTTGCTGAAAATTCGTGCAAGTAGGTGTTCCATCCCCATGGGACCACAATGAACATACCAAAATAAAGATGCCTAGCTGTTCAAACATTTGAATACCAAACCAATGGTATCCTAGGTAATTTAGTTATATAAACTAAGTTGAAATTGTAAATTGGCCACCGTAAGGAGTTAAAAAGCTGATGTTTCCACTGTTAGCCAGATGAAGGTCTAACGCTCGAAACATCACCTTTTTAACTCATTACGGTGGCTAATTTATAATTTCAACTTAGTTGATATAACCAAATTACCTTGTTACCTCCACCAACACAGCACCACAGTTTCTTTAGAAACTTTCACCCTTTATTCAAGGGTGTCCTACCTCAGTTCCCATGGAAATCTCTGCAGCAGCTTTGACCTCCTCCTCAACTTCCTCAGGCAGAATCTCAGACAAATCAGTTTTATCAGCATTTAAACGAGTGCCTGGAAAATAGGAAACAAAGTTGACTATTAACATAACACAAATTAAATCCAAAGTATCCTAAGCTAGAGATATCTTGTAATCACTAGCTTTTCCCCTGTCAAAGAGACTGGGTTGATTTTTAAAATCTTGCCTAGATGACAAGTCAGGCTGGTTAAAAAGATCATGGTTCTTGTAAATGAGATCTCTAGGAACGGAGGCACACTCCACCCCAGCTACTGGGAGGAAACTAGCTAAAGAGATATCTGCACCTGAAATTTCTGTCTGTTAATTTTGCTTAATCGCAGCTTTCTAGGAAGGACTGAAATTTCCCATTTCTCATCAAAATTCATGTGGGTCATGGCCTATTGACCTTGACCTACAATTTGGAATTTTATTAAAAAGATAATAGTGGGTAAAGCACAAATGGAAAGTACACTTAGTCTAGTAACATACACACCCTATGCAAGATTGCTGGACTAGAGAGATAAGCTGTTCAGAAATTATATAAAAAAGGAGTACACCTTTCAAAGACCCTAAAAACCACACCCTGTTTAACACCACATATCCATTAAGGCCTGATAAAGTCCCCCCCCCATCCCTACCCAAATTAAACAAACCTGGTTCCCAAGCACATATGAAAAGAGTCAAAGTCCCACGTGCCTTGTTCCAATGCAGTGAAAACAATGGCATGTTATAATGTCCCTTACCCATGGTTTTGACAGTCTTTGCAAACGCTAGGTTGTCAGTGACAATCTTGCCCATTTCAGGAAAATGCCAGCCATACCACTCACGGCAACGCATCACATAGTTGTTGAGTTCCTTATCCAGGTCATCCAGTAAAGATATTGCTTGGACAATCATGGTGTCTATTTTGTCTGGACTGAACTTGAGCTTATAACGTGACAAGCTTAAAAACAAAAGGACTTTGCTGAAGAGACCAAGCAAGGAAAGACTGATTTTTCGATTTTAAATAATGTTCAGGCATCTAGATGAAGAAATGGATAATTGAATAAACAAACCAACCTGTGGGCTAATCCTAAGGCCATAGCACTCATTTCTTTGTTAGGAAGACCTGTTGTTTTGAAAGAAAAAGAGATTTAGGTAAAACTTGTTTAAAAATGTCTACAAACAAATTCTTGCTCATTGCAAGCTGTCAATAGCAAATTCCACAATCAAGGGGTAGACAATAAATGGTTCAACATGGCAGCCATTGCTACCAGACTGCAAAGTTAACCAAAAGAGTACAACCTCCCTGGATAACGTAAAAAAGCTCTGTATATAAGCCAAGTAGCCCATCAGGTGGCCGGTGCTTACCTCTGGTTTCTGTAGCACAAAGAAACTAAGAGTATTCAGGGCTGTAGCCAGATTTCAGGACAAGATGAGGCAAGTTTCGAGCACCGAAGGCGCAAGCTGCTAGAGGGGTCTGGGGGCATGCCCCCCAGAAAACTTTGAAATCTAGAGGTTTAGGAATGATCTTTTAAGGATTTTCTGTGGCAATTTTCTTCAGAAAGGTCAATCTTTAAGAAAAAAATTAAAAAAGGCCAAAATTAAGACGAGGCAATTACCTCGTCTTGCCTCGTGCTAGCTACGGCCCTGGTATTTCTACTCCCCTGGATGGGATGCTAGTCCATCACAGGGTTATCCCCCAGCATTAAATTTACCGGTACCCATTTATACACCTGGGTGAAGAGAGGCAGTGTGAGAGCATAGTGTCCTGGGCCCAGTTGTTCAAAGACCGATTAGTGCTAACCCAGGGTTAAATTTTAATCCAGGTTTCTAAATTTCTCTGTTCAAAAGCCATTTTAAGATAATTTTCCCAATTCTTCTTGGAGCATTCAATCACCAGATTGTTAAATGGAATTAAAGTGAATTTAATTTTAAAGCTTTCAGATCTGCAATTAAATTTCACACTAACCCTGGGTTATCTTAAACCACCTTTGAACAACCCGGCCCCGCCCAAGAACACAATACAACATCCCTGGCCAGGGCTCAAACCTGGACCACTTGATCCTGAGTCGAGGGCACTAAGCAGGAGGCCATCAAACCTCCCTTCGAAAGAGTAATGGATGAGAACTTGTTACAGAAATGGTTTGTATTTGTTGAATACCTGTGATAAGGCTTTCAAGCTGTAGCCTTATTCCTCTCATGAGTTCTTGAACTGCTGAGCTGGAGACACAATTCAAACTAAGCTTCTCCTGAAGTACAAAGAGACGCAGAAAAAAATTACAAAAAAAAAAAAAACCTTACTAATAACCAATTCTAAATTCCTGCAAGAGGTAAAAATGACCTGATGCTGAGAGTTTAAGAGGAAACTGGTAAATCCCTGGAATCGATGGGAGCATAAAAAAAGCTTCAAGTGACAGTTGATAGATTCCTAAACCCTTTAATTCCCAGAAGTGATAAACAAGTAACTTCTCCCTCCAAAATCCACTCATTACCCAGGTAACAGGTAATGAGAATATTCCAACTTATCAGGTAGAAGTTGTTCTCTTGATCTAACAACAAATTCTCGTCACTAATTTACTAGGAAATGTGTAGCAGTCAGAGGGGAGAATTAATAATTACATCTTGAGAGTTAAAAGGTGAATTCTCCACCCAAATTTCTAGATTAGGTTCTAGTCCAATAAAACACACTACCCATGAATAACAGACAGATCAGTTGGTTAATGATCAGTATAAACTCCAGTGACATAGATAATAAAACATTCTCCATTCTGAAAATCTGGCCAGTACAAAAATATAACGATCAGGTAGATACACTTCAGAACTTGTGCTCTTCAAAAATTGACCATGTGCTACACCTAAATATGTTACATAACAAAAATTACAGGGATACCACTATTTCTTTTTATAACATAACTAAAGCAAAGCGTGCCCTCTGATTGGTTAATTCACCATCTACTATTTGCCCATGGGTGCATGCTGCTGACGTGAGCAAATGCTTAGACTATTTTTCCTCGCACACTTATTTTTTCTGATCACATAAGATTTGTTAAATAAAAGGGAACTCTTGTTCCAATGTATCAATGTTATGTTATAAAACAAATGGTGAACGCCATAGCGTGTACTATTGAGTTATGGATGCACTTGGGAGGTTTGCTAAGCACTCAAGAAGCTAGAGTCACACTTGGCTATCGCCTCGTGTGACTCTTACGCTTCTTTCGTGCTTAGCAACCTACTGCATGCATCCATAACTCAATAGTACATGCTATGGCATTCACCATTTGTTAATTAAAATATTCCTCAAAACTGGAGTGAAGAAATTGTACAATGTTATAACATAACCAAAGTAAAGCGCGTGCTCTGATTGGTCAATTTAGCGTCCCCCCATTTGCCCATGGGTGTACACTGCTGACGTGAGCAAATGCAAAGACTATTTTTCCGTGCGGGCTTGTTTTTTCTGGTCATGTAAGATTTGTTAAATAAAAGGGAACTCTTTAGCTACAATGTATCAATATTATGTTATAAAACAAATGGTAAACACCACAGCGCACACTATTGAGTTATGGATGCACTTGGGAGGTTTGCTAAGCACTCAAGAAGCTAGAGTCGCTCT